AAAACTGAGCCTGTCTGGAAGCTGTAGTTTAAAAACAAAAAAACCCTATACGATACCACCACCTCAATGTTAATGAAGAGGGGGCACAGTGAGTAAAAATGTGTCTCATATTTGAAATAAGAAAACAAAAAAGTGCAGGTTCTTGGCTGTACAATATTAAGAATTAGCCAGTGGAATAAATTAAGGTCAGAAAACAACATTAAATGTTATAAAAATAGCTGTTAACTGTAATTTTATAGCCGAGATCCATGGGCAGATTATGAGTTGATGGGCTCCTGGACACAGAAACATAAAAAGGCCCCCCACCCACAGTAAGACACCCAACTACTACATAATGTTTGTAGTTATTTTGCATGTTTTTGTTGTCATTTTGCATCTTTTTCTGACTGTTTGATTGACTTTCCAACCAGAAATGTCAACAGTCAGTGCATATACTCTGGTTCAGGGGCTCTGGGCCCTTGAGGAATCCTTCCATGGTACTAACAAGCCAACTTCCTGTCATGTTCGGACTCTAGTAGGGAGGGAACGCTGGCTACGCCTCTAGCTGTCGCCCCCCTGAACATAGCAGTCTTTTTTATCCTGATTCTGGATAGCTAAGACCACTGTGGAAATAAGATATATTCACTTTTAACATTAATCTAATGATTTCAAGTCTAACATCATGTTTTTCTTATGTGTAGTTTATACTTATATCATATTTTTTCCTCTCAGTATGTCCAGTACAGGTGTGTTAAGTGTTTGTTGTTTAAAACCTTAAACCAAACCAACAAAAAATCTACTTTTAAAACCAGAACACTGCAACAGTCAGTACCATAAAACCACCAGAACCTAAACCAGATCAGGGCATCACAAGGGCCTGGCTGTTTAATATGTTAATAAAAACAGAAAGGGGCTTTTGTATCTTAATAAGGAAGGCCTGTGGTTTAATGTGGCTGTGTTTGGAGGGTCTTTGAAAGCTCCAGTTGTGGGAAAAGTCTTGAGTAAAGTAGTAGGAGCATCAGAAAGTGTAGGGACAGGCCAGTAATTACTGGCTGATATTATATTTTACAGACTTAATGTGTTGGAAAAGATTTTCTGTATGGATTAGGATATAAGCCCTGAATGTTTGGAGTGGTTCAGAGTTGCTCAAATTGTTTAGCAGAAGGTGCTACTGGCAACTGAAACCTCCAGATTTGTCGCCCACAATGAAGACTGTCTGCAAAACCCTGCAGTAAGTTAATGTGCAGAAGAGCAAAGGAGTAAAACAGCATGTTCAATGATGAGTAAATATATTGCATAAATATATTGATAATGATATTAAATTCATAGGCCTACACATATTTAAACTAATGGACAATGTAGCCTAAATTTAATATCATACAACCGAAATTACCAAGTTAACATCACAGCTCCTTGCTCGACTACAACTGTTACATAGCAGGCTACTGCCCCACAGCTCCAGATTCCCAGGGGCCCCAAACACCCCAGATTTACTGCATTACAGCGGATTTTTGGAAAAGTGGGTTGTGGCAGCTCTGTGTTGTAAAGGGGACACAATTTTGTCTTAATTATTTTAGTTTATGCTGTGCTCACATGGCCCACATTACTAAATAAAGTTTAATTAAATTGGGGTCAAGGTAGAGTTAATCCAGTCTAGGAATACTCGTCTCTGGGCATTTAATGAAGCTGACATGTGATAGAAACTTGGAGATGAGACAATACTAAATTAAATATTTTGCTTTGAAGAAAATTGTAATTTAAAGATGTCTACACATTATTGAAACCATTTTAGGAAACAAATATTGAAGTGTTTTTGGTCCTTTCAGGGCAACAATGGCTACTTTAAGCTTGATAAGTTTTAGACCACTATTAGTTAGTGAAATGGACACACAATCTGGTTTAGCCCTGCTCTGTTTATGAGGTATTTTGAGTTAAGTTATTTATATTAAAAACTGTATTTGCTTCAAGTAATTTCCTGAAATACTAAAGAGACCGACAGTGACAAATCCCAGCCCTAAAAGCTGCAACAGCCTGTCTGTAGTTTATATCCTTTTGAGCCCAAGTCAGAAATAATACGGTACTCAGTCTGTATTTCCAAGTATCAAGCAGAGGTGTGTGTTACTTCACGCGAACTGTTTTTTAATATAAACCTTGTTTGCCATCTAGTGGTTCTGGCTTGAAAATACCTCTGTAGCAAGAAAAGGCTGTAACACAAGACATCATGTAGGAAGGTAATTTGCAGAAGGAAGTATGTTTACTTCATAATATTTACATTTGATGGATTGTTTGTAATGAAAAATACATCTTTTTATAATTTTCATATACTCCATATGGTGCTTTATCTCCTGTTTTAAGCACCTCAGTGGAAATAGTATCATATCTGCACTGGTTAGCAGTTCAGTTATAATCACAGATCTATATAGTAATCACCCTCTTCCTCTATATTTAGCACACAGTGCTCACAGAGAGGCTGTGAGCCTCTGTTCTGCCAGTTCCTCTCACCGCTAATGAGATTTACTCTTGGCACAAGGAGCAGAGCAGACAATGGCGCTGTCTAGACGAGCCACGTCTAGGGCACAAAATGGTGTTTCAGGACCGGCAGTAATAGCAGAGCAACAACCAACATAACAACGAGTCGTAGTCAACATCAAAATAACAATTATGGTACTCAGTGTGAAAATCTGCTCTTAACATCACTATAAAAAAAGATTCTTTATATAAATAACCAGTCTGTAGTGCTGCATTTTTGGCAGCTTTCTCTCTCAATATCAGAAAAGGGGAAAAAGAGAGATTTGGCTACTGCCCCATTAGTTAATTAAGTGTTAAGCAGGGTTCTCAAACTCAGGAGAGAGACTTTAATGTTCAAGTACAACAAGAAAAGCTCCATATTTAGCAACAAATGCAAACAAAATTTTTAGTATATCATAGTTTTATATAGTTATATTATACATTGTTGTTCACAGCCAGACAACAAATGAGTCCCGAAACGTATCTCTCTTTTTATATACTGTATTAATCCCCAGTTGGGGAAATTCTTCTTTACACTCTATTTATTTTTTATACACACACACACACACACACAGGCCGAAACGCACATTCATGCACATGCAGGGGCTTGTGGACATACAAACAGGGAGAGAGATGGTGGAGTGATGGGCTCGCCTCGTTAGTGGCAGTTTCTTGGGGTTAGGTTGCCTTGCTCAAGGGCACCTCGGCAGTGCACAGGAGGTGAATCTACCAGTCCACACTCCATACTGTGTATATATCTGTGGGACTTGAACCGGGGACCCTCCGATTCCCCAGCCAAGTCCCTACACACTGAGCTACTGCTGCCCCAAATGGCATGACATGGCAGAGGCAAAGAGACCCAAGAGGACATTGATGGAGGAAATCTAAGAAGAGAAAAGGAGAAAGTGACCAAGCAAGAAGCCGTTGACGAGAATAAATGTGGGACTGGCTGCAAGACGGATGGAAAGTTGGCCTTTTTACTTTTGGACTAGTCAGTAATATTATCTGGCTTGCTTTGTCTTGTGTTGTTGCGCCTGTTTGATGTTTGGCTGAGTTAGTTTTCAACCTGCTGGTTTTTGGTCTTAAGTAATATAACCCTAACAAATGCATCTGTGCTGCTGTCCACATCTACGACGGTGGTGTTGCACCAACTCGGGGCGCCAAAATGCAACAAATAGCAGATCTTACACAGTGTCATAGTCCATCATCAAGTTCCAGTGAAAAACGAACAGCATCAAGAGGTGGTTGTGAGAGCTGTGTGACGATGCATTTTCCAGCTAAATCTAAGAGGAGTTTTAAATTTAAATGACCAGTCTGTAGGATTTAGTGACATCTAGTGGTGAAGTTTCAGATCCAACTGATATAGATCCTCCTCAATGTTACACACTAAACGTTTAACTTAAGAGACAAGAGAATCCCAACACATCAAAGAACAACAAAGAGATTTGTGGTTTTCACTGGATACTGGAAGAGTATGAAAAATTTTAATCTGAAAAGTAACTAAAACACACAAATGTAATTGAGAGGAAACAATTGATTGGTATTGGGTTGAAGTAATCAGCTTAAAAAAAAAAAAAAGAAATGCACAGTTTTAAGTGTTTGGTACCAAATTAAAGAAGTAACTGCTGACAGTGTAAGAAATTGAAGAACCAGGATGTAACTAGAGTCTTAAAAACTCATTGCTCACTTTACCACGAGGTGCCAGTTAGGAGCATGAGTTAGTTTAAATAAATTATTGCAACTTCAGCAATCCACCACAAGATGTCACACTGATCCTACTGTATCCACATACACCTTACAAGCATTTACTAGTTCATAGAGGTGGAATGTAAACAAGTACATTTACTGAAGTACTTGTACTTTACATGCAGCTTTCTATTTAGTCTCCACTGCATCTCAGAGGAAAATATTGTACTTTTTACTCCACTATATTTTTCTGACTGCTTTAGTTACGAGTCAATTTTCAGATTACAATTGTTGTTCAAATTACAACAGCATGTAAAAGTTGCTCCTTACAGAAACACTTGTTTAACCCTTGTATGGTGTAGGTCATTGTTTTTTTATATATACATGCAGAAGATTACAGACTGGATCTTGGATAGATTTTGTTTTTATTTTTATATAATATACAGATCTGAATACATTCCTGTAAACGTGTACACCATTTGATCTTTCTGGGTTCTTTTTGTCCAGTAACTTTGTATACTTAAGTAAGATTTTGAATCCTGGCCTTTTACTTTTACTTATATTTTTACATTATTGAATTACAACTTTTACTTAAGATCTGAATAATTGAAAGGCAGTATCTGTCTACCATTAGATTACATATCTGAGTTTTACCACACAGTTGAACTTATCTATAACAGAACTCAGTTTCCCTGTTTTAATTGTTTTGAGTTAGAAAATGTAGATAAAATCCTGCAGTGCGTCTATTTCATGTATTCAACACTCGCTGTTTTAAAGTTTCACATTTGTATCATATATGTAGTTTTAAATGACAGAGCAAAGACACATTTATACATTGTTAGCATGTGTTTTTATTTGATTTCAGGTTACATGACAGTCAGGTTTACTGTAATTCACACTGACATCCAAACACGACTTTTACTTGCCGAGCATTTTAGTTTAAAAAGGCTTGCAATGTCATGACTTCATTTCATGCCTGTGGAGTTAGCAGAGCTCCAAAGTTCTTCCCCTTCATTGAACACCAACAGTTTGCCATCATCGGTCAGGTGAAGACGGCTCCTGAAATCACCATTCACATGTGTGTTTGTGTGCCAACTGGGATGCCCATCCTTGTTGTACATGACCAGGTTGCAGTCTTCCTGCATGATCAGGCGGACAGCGTCTGATCCATAAGTGTCTGAAGCCCACATAGGCTTCCAGCCGTAGATGACAAAGTTACTATCGTCCTGAAAGCAGAAACAGATATTTGACTGTAATCAAAATATAGCAATAGAACCAGACAGGCTAGAAAATATGAATTTTGATGAACTTTTGGACTGCAAAAATTCTGGTTTATTCACCTGAAAGATAGCCTTCCACTGCTTGTTGTTGGACATCAGGTAATCTCCCTTGCGAAGCTCATCATTTTTGGACAGGAAGTTCAGACTCATGATTCTGAAACAAACAATTATTATCACTGAACCAGGAAAGAGGACTCGAGACACAAGAACTCAGTAAAACAGTTCTGTACCTCGAGGTCTGGCACACAGAAATCCAATCAAACAGGCAAACAAGTCCAAAAAGTGCAAAGGGAGAGTCAAAAAGGCACTTCAACACAAAGGATGACAGTAAAAGAAGTGTAAAAGTACTCACATGCTTGAATGTCCCACACCAGTCAGTCTGTGAGCAGAAGTGAAGGAAGTGAAATTCACAGCTGGTCGCTCCGTCTTTATATTATCTGAGTTGTGGAAGTGTTACTAAATATGGTATTGTGACGTTTTAAAAAAAATCTTAGTAAGTAGTCCAATTGTTTCCTAACCTTCATTTACAGTATTTCATAATCACAGACAGTAACATACTGGCCATATTTCAAAATATGCAGCTGTTCTATGTAACCATAGACAGGTATATGCAAGGTGAGACTACAGTGTGACAAGTTGCAATAATTTCCTCCTTGATGACTTTCAAAAGAATACGAGACTAAAGTTAACAGAATTTCTACCTTTACCTGCAAAGTCTGGGACACAGAAATCAAATCAAACAGGCAAACAAGTCCAAAAAGGAAAGGAGTAACCCAAAAACCAAGGTAAAAGAAACACAAGGGAATACTGGAATGCTTGGCTCAAAGGACAAAGATGAAATGGCACAGAAGGGAAGGAACACAGGGAATATACACTCTACGGGTGGGTGGGTAATCAGACACAGGGACAAGGCATTCAGTCAATTGTCAATGTCAGTCCATTGCTGTCCATCTCACATTACAATGTTGTAACTGAACCTTGACTGAGAGACAAGATAATCATTATCTAATATTAAAATAATGTGTGGCTATGAGGAGTACCATAGTGACCATATACTGTCTGGACTGGTGCCCAGAGACTTTACTGCAGCTGGGAAGTGTGAGTTTGATTTTGTGCACACACATATGAATGCAGCATATGCCTCTCAGATGAAGTGGAGTAGAAATATAAAGTTGCATAAAATGGTAATACGGAAGCAAAGTACCTCGATTTTGTACTTAAGTACAATACTTCAGTAAATGTACATTCCACTACTGTAAACTGGTAAATGCTTGTAAGGTATATGGATACAAAGACTGCAGTAAGATTAGTGTTGCATCTTGTGGTGCATTGTTGCAGTTGCAGTAAATTCTTTCATTTTAACAAACTCATGCTCCTAACTGGCACCATACATGGTAAAGTAACTCTTTCACAATTTTTAAGACTCATGACTTGTGGTTACATCTTGAACAACAGCCACTCAATCACTACAACTGCCACTAGTATTACACCATTATTTCCTATTACTACTTAAAATGGATATATTAACATTTGATGATTTCTAACAAAGCCAAATGGCAGTAATGTTCATATTAAAGTCGCAGTTTGGTCAAAACTTCTCTGCTCCATCTTTTGCCAATGACCATGTCTTATTCTGAATTAGATGCTACATTGTCACTTTTTGTTCGCACAACTACACATAAGCATGGATCCTCTAAAGGGACATGGTAAAAAAAACTTGAAATGTCTTTAAGTTTCTTGTGCTCAGTGTTTTAGATGGATTCAACACTTTCTGTTGCAGAATCATGAGCAAGAACTTCTTGTCCAAAAATGATAAGGTCCGCAGGGGAAACTACCTGCTGTCCAATAATGGGAAGTAGTTCTTGTGAAAAAGTACTGTTGTAACTGTTTTCCATCAGTCATTTCAATGCGATTCAGCCTTCTTTTGCAAATGAAATTGACTCCTAACGCTGTTGCATGTTAAATAATACTTTATAGAGCTTTTTAGTGAATGGTTAATTACTAGATGTGGACAGACGTGCTTACAGTTCTGTACAGACTGTCTGACTTTGACACCTCATTTACCATGACTACAATCTTTGCTTTATCTTAAGCAAATAGTTTTAGTTGCCTAAATGTAACTACACTTAAAGAGGCGAAGGTTTGAATCCCATCTCCTAACAACAGTCAGTGTTGTTACTTTAAACCATTACCATCATCTTTCTGGATACTGGAAGAGTATGAGAAGTTGAAATCTGTTAAGAGGAGTAAAACGTGCAATATTTGCCTCTGAAATGCAGTAGAGTGGAAATATAAAGTCACATAAAGTGGAAAGTTTAAATTTCCAATCCTCCAGTCATAAAAAAAATTCAATGTTTTTATTCTTTGTTTTCATACATTTGCCTTCATACTTTTAAAACATAGTGTTTCTATGAATACAGGATTAGCCCACTAATACAGCAATTCTCAAACCTTTTAGAGTCATGAACCCCCGAGAACAATCAGGTGAGTGTTCGTGACTGCCCTACATGTGTAACATAACACATGAAATCTACCAAACTCATACAGGAAGACAGACCATTGCTTTGTCCACAGTTCATGCTTTCAGATTTACTGAAATAACCTTTAGAGTCAACAGTCAGCATGCCTGCTTTAAGCCTAAAGACACAATAATATATAGAAACACATTCATTCTACAATGTCTTTGAAATAATCAGCTTCAAAAAACAGAAAATGCACATTTTTATCAAGTGTTTGGTACCAAATTAAAGAAGTAACTGCTGACAGTATAAGAGATTGAAGAACCAGGATGTAACTAGAGTCTTAAAAACTCATTGCTCACTTTACCACCTGGTGCCAGTTAGGAGCATGAGTTAGTTTAAATAAATTATTGCAACTTCAGCAATCCACCACAAGATGTCACACTGATCCTACTGTATCCACATACACCTTACAAGCATTTACTAGTTTACAGTGGTGGAATGTAAACAAGTACATTTACTGAAGTACTTGTACTTTAATATTATTACCACTTTATGCAGCTTTCTATTTAGTCTCCACTCCATCTCAGAGGAAAATATTGTACTTTTTACTCCACTATATTTGTCTGACTGCTTTAGTTACTAGTCAATTTTCAGATTACAATTGTTGTTCAAATTACAACAGCATATAAAAGTTGCTCCTTACAGAAACACTTGTTTAACCTTTGTATGGTGAAGGTCATTGATTTTTTTTATATATACATGCAGAAGATTACAGACTGGATCTTGGATAGATTTTGCTTTTATTTTTATATAATATACAGATCTGAATACATTCCCATAAACGTGTTTGTTCAGTAACTTTGTATACTTAAGTAAGATTTTGAATGCCAACCTTTTACTTTATAGTTTTACATGATTGAATCACAAGCTTTACTTATTTTAAAGATCTGAATAATTGAGAGGCAATATTTATCTACCATTGGATGAAATATTTGAGGTTTTCCATGTTGTTTGTTGTAAATTATCTAGAACTTCCCTGAGTTTTACCACAGAGTTGAACTTGTCTATAACAGAACTCAGTTTCCCTGTTTTAATTGTTTCGAGTTAGAAAATGTAGATTAAATCCTGCAGTGCGTCTATTTCATGTGTTCAACAGTTGCTGTTTTAAAGTTTCACATTTGTATCATATATGTAGTTTTAAATGACAGATGTCAAATGTCAGAGTCTGGCCTATTTTACAGTACAAAAAGAGCAAAGACACATGTATACATTGTTAACATGTGTTTTTATTTGATTCCAGATTACATGGCAGTCAGGTTCACTGTTATTCACACTGACATCCAAACATAATTTCAATTAAAGAGCATTCAATTTAAAAAGGCTTGCAATCTCAATGCTTTATGCCTTTGGAGTTAGCAGAGCTCCAAAGTTCTTCTCCTGCCTTGTGCACCAACAGTTTGCCGTCATCGGTCAGTTGAAGACGGCTCCTGAAATTACCATTCACATGTGTGTTTGTCTGCCACCTGGCTTGCTCATCCTTGTTGTACATGACCAGGTTGCAGTCTTCCTGCATGACCAGGCGGAAAACATCTGTCCCATAAGTGTCTGAAGCCCACACAGGCTTCCAGCCGTAGATGACAAAGTTACCATCGTTCTGCAGGCAGAAACAGATATTTGGCTATTATCAAAATATAGCAATATAACCAGACAGGCTAGTAAAAAATGTATGATATTTGATCAACTTCTGCACTGCAAATATTCTGGTTTACTCACCTGGAAGATAGCCTTCCACTGCTTGTTGTTAGACATCAGGTAATCTCCCTTGCGGAGCTCCTGATCTTTGGACAGGAAGTTCAGACTCATGGTTCTGAAACAAACAATAATTATAATTAAACCAGGATAAAGGACTCAATAGCACAACTTAATACACAAGAGCTCAGCAAAACAGTTATTTACCTGCAAAGTCTGGGACACAGAAATCCAATCAAACAGGCAAACAAGTCCAAAAAGTGCAAAGGCAGAGTTAAAAAGGAACACAAGGGACTGCTGGAACGCTTGACACAAAGGACGAAGTGGCACAGAAGGGAAGGAACACAGGGAATATATACTCAACAGGTGGGTGGATGAAAGATGACTTTCAAAATACTTTTCAAACCATCCTTTCATCATTTCATGGCTTTGGAGTTGGAAGAGTTCCAAGTCTCTTCTCATTCGTTGTTCAGCCCCAGTTTGCTGTCATTGGTCAGTTGAAGACGACAGAGTTTGTGTGCCTCATCCTGGTTGTACATGACCAAGTTGCAGTCTTCCTGCATAACCAGGCGGTAAACAATCTGATCTATCTGTCTGAAGCCCGCACAGGCTTCCAGCTCTAGATGACAAAGTTACCATTGTCCATCCAGCCTGTTTGACAAATAGAAACGTATCACCACCTTGGATACTGTTGTTTGTTTGTTTTTTATTTTTGTTGCTCTCAATGTTGCACACAAAATTTGGTAAAAAAAACAACCCCTAGACATTCTTGTTGTCTCCTACTTCTTCTGTGATAAACCTAAGGAATGTAGTAACCATTTAGAAAATGTTAAATTCACTGCCCAAAGGACATTGATAGTAATCTGAACTGTAGACTTGAAGAACAACATTTCACAACGTTCGGTAGATTCATCAGAAAGTTCTTTGAGGTCAGAGGGAAGTAAAAAAACAGAAGACAACAGTACTGCCTGTTTCTTTGACAAATACAAACATATCACCACCTTGGACAGTATTGTTGTCTTGTGCATTTATTCTCAGCATTAACTGTGCAGCAGAATGGCCCCTGTCAGAGTTATGAGTTGACTTTGGTGGTTCTTTATGTTGCTCTCAATGTTGCACACAGTTCCAATAGAAAGTGAGACAGAAATGGAAATACAGTTAAATCAAGCATGGGGCTGTTATACAGCCTACATACAAGCCAGTCCCCTGAGGACACCAAGATCATGTGAAGGACAACAAGCTGAATAAAATAGGCCAAACTATATATGTATATATAAAGCAACAATGACCAACACCATACAGTCAAGTGTTTCTTTAAAATGTAAACTAATAATATAATATTGTAATAATGTAATGTTGTAGCTGGTCAAGTTGGAACAGATTTGAAATGTTCAGTAGTTTAATCTTGACATTGTTTTGTATTGTATAAACTGGTTTGATATTTTGTTTTAAAATGTTAAATTTGGGAAGTAACTTTTAACAACTGCTCAAAAAATAAATTAAGTGGTGTAACAAGTTCAATATTTCCCTGTGCGGTTTGAAGCAACAACCTGGAAAATTAGGTAAAAAAAACAACCCCTAGACATTCTTGTTGTCTCCTACTTCTTCTGTGATAAACGTAATTAACCATTTAGAAAATGTTGAAGTCACTCCCAAAAGGATATTGATAGTAATCTGAACTGTAGACTTGAAGAACAACATTTCACAACGTTCTGTAGATTCATCAGAAAGTTCTTTGAGGTCAGAGGGAAGTAAAAAAAACAACAAAAAAACAGCTAATGAGTGAATGCTTTTATACTTGAGTGAAAGTATAAAAAGTTACTGGACAAAAAGGAACCCGAAAGAGCAAATGTCATACACAATGTTATGAAAATGCATCATATCACAAAAGAACAAATCTGTCAAAGAGCCAGCCTGAAATCTTCTGCATACTGCCTGTTTCTTTGACAAATACAAACGTATCACCACCTTGGACAGTATTGTTTTCTTGTGCATTTATTCTCAGCATTAATTGTGCAGCAGAATGGCCCCTGTCAGAGTTATGAGTTGACTTTGGTGGTTCTTTTTGTTGCTCTCAATGCTGCACACAGTTCAAATAGAAAGTGAGAGACAGTTAAAAAGAGCTTGAAATACAGGCAATTTATCACTATTGTGATCTCTTCATGCCTTTGGAGTTAGCAGAGCTCCAAAGTTCTTCCCCTTCCTTGTACACCAACAGTTTGCCATCATCGGTCAGTTGAAGACGGCTCCTGAAATTACCATTCACATGTGTTTTTGTGTGCCACCTGGGATGGTCATCCTTGTTGTACATGACCAGGTTGCAGTCTTCCTGCATGACCAGGCGGACAGCGTCTGATCCATAAGTGTCTGAAGCCCACACAGGCTTCCAGCCGTAGATGACAAAGTTACCATCGTCCTGCAGCCAGAAAAATAGACATGTGACTGGTACCAGAATGCATTTCCACACACTTATTTTCTTACTTTTTGCATTTACTTTTACACATGTATCATGCATCGTGATTAGTGTTGCAAGTGCAGAAATTACACACCTGGAAAATAAGCTTCCACTCCTTGTTGTTGGACATCAGATAGTCTCCCCTGCGGAGCTCCTGATCTTTGGACAGGAAGTTCCTGCTCATGATTCTGCAACAGAAAGAAAATCCCTTTTGCATTATACACAGTATGCAGCTATTATAAACCTAACAGCAGAAATATAAACTGCAATTCAATTCAATTTTATTTGTATAGCGCCAATTCATAACAGAAGTTATCTCAGGACACTTTTCAAATGTAGACAGAGAAAGAGACAGACAGTTGCACAGCAACAACAACTACACTAATAGTAGTGACTGATGATGATGAACATGAAGATGATTAGTGACAATGGCAGTCAAGCAGGACCTGCGAGACGAGAAAGCACAAGAACTCTGGGGAAGAAGTGAAGTTAGTAACATGCATTAATGGAACATGAATGAGTGCAGAAAGAGAGAGAGAGGAAGAGAGGAGCTCAGTGCATCATGGGAGATCCCCCGATAGTCTAGGCCTATAGCAGCATAACTAAGGAATGGTTAAGGACTCACCTGATCCAGCCCTAACTATATATATCAAAGAGGAATGTCTTAAGCCTACTCTTAAATGTGGAGAGGGTGTCTGCCTCCCGAACCACAACTGGAAGCTGGTTCCACAGGAGAGGAGCTTGGTAACTGAAGGCTCTGGCTCCTGTTCTACTTTTAGAGACTATAGGAACCACAAGTAGTCCAGCATTCAGAGAACGTAGTGTTCTAGTGGGGTAATAGGGTACTATGAGCTCTTTAAGATATGAAGGGGCCTGACCATGAAGAGCTTTGTAGGTGAGGAGGAGGATTTTAAATTCTATTCTACATTTTATAGGGAGCCAATGCAGAGAAGCTAGTACAGGAGAGATGTGATCTCTTTTTCTAGTTCCTGTCAGTACTCGTGCTGCAGCGTTTTGAATTAATTGGAGCGTTTTAATGGACTAATTGGGGCAACCTGATAATAAAGAGTTGCAGTAATCCAGCCTAGAAGTAACAAATGTATGGATTAGTTTTTCTACATCCGTCTGAGACAGGATGTGTCTAATTTTTGTAATATTACGTAAATGAAAGAAGGCAGTCCTGGAAGTTTGTTTCATGTGGGAATTAAATGACAAATCCTGATCAAAGATAACTCCAAGATTCCTGACAGTGGTGCTAGAGGCCAAAGTAATGCCATCTAGAGTAACTATATATCTTTAGACAGTGAGTCTTTAAGGTTTTTGGGGCCAAAAATTTTTTTTAGTTTAACATCAGAAAATTGCAGGTCATCCAGGATTTTATGTCCGTAAGACATATTTGTAATTTAGATAATTGATTCATTTCATCGGGCTCGATCGATATAACCGCGTATCAGTGAAAGTTAATGGAGTGATTCCTAATAATGTTGCCTAAAGGGAGCATATATAAAGTAAATAGTATTGGTCCAAGTACAGAACCTTGTGGAACTCCATGACTAACTGTAGTATTTATTGAAGATTCATCGTTAACATGTACAAACTGCGAACGATCTGATAAGTATGACTTAAACCAGCTTAGTGCGGTTCCTTTAATGCCAATTTGATGCTCAAGTCTCTGTAAAAGAATATTATGGTCAATGGTGTCAAATGCAGAACTAAGATCTAATAATACAAGTACAGAGACAAGTCCATTGTCGGAAGCAATCGAAAGGTCATTATTAACTTTATCCAATCTGTCTCTGTAGTTTGATGAACTCTAAATCCTGACTGAAATCCTCAAATAAACTATTGTTATGTAGAAAGGCACACAACTGTTTGGTGACTACTTTCTCCAGAATCTTAGAGAGGAAGAGGAGGTTAGAGATTGATCTATAGTTGGCTAAAACCCCTGGGTCAAGAGTGGGCTTTTTAAGAAGGGGTTTAATTACAGCTACTTTAAAGGACTGTGGTACATATCCTGATTATAAAGAAAGATTAATCATATCCAGTAAAGAAGTGCCATTTAAGGGTACGACTTCTTTAAGCAGCCTAGTTGGGATCGGGTCCAACAGACAGGTTGATGGCTTCGATGAAAAAATAATTGAAGTTAACTGATGAAGATTGATAGCAGAATAGTCTAAATATATATCTAAGTTTACATCAGTTAAAGTTCCTACACTTGGAGAGCCAGTGATACCTGTTGATGGCATTTGGTGACTAATTCTCTAATAATAATACTTTTATTATAAAAGAAGCTCATGAAGTCGTTGCAATAGAGCTGTGACTCTGTCAGCCTGGCTACAGTGCTGAAGAGGAACCTAGGGTTATTCTTATTTTCTTCTATTAGTGCTGAGTAATAGGCTCCTCTGGCATTACGGAGGGCCTTTCTGTAGGTTTTAAGATTATCTTGCCAAATTGAGCGATATTCTACGGAGGAGTTGGTTTTCATTTTTATTAGGTTTTATTTTTAATTCCTCTCGTTTTTATTTCTTTAAATCATTTAGGTGCAGAGAAGTGTGTAAGACAGCAGCTCTGCACCCCGGTCCCAACTCTGGACTGTCAGGTTTTATAAATAAACTTTGCCATATTCCTCAATAAGATATCTTTCGCCAGCAGCTTTAAATAGGATAAAGAGGAATAGCTAAACATCTGGCACACTGAGCAGGACAGAGGTAGATGCCATTGTTAACTGCTAATGTTTCCTTCATGCATTAATCTTTCAGGATGAATGATAACATATGAATCCACCCATCAGTATAAGTATAAATCTCTCTCTCTCTCTCTCTCTCCTTTTTTTTTTTTTTTTTTTTTTTTTTTTTTTTTTTTTTTTTTTTTTTTTTTTTTTTTTTTTTTTTTTTTTTTTTATAAAAAAAAAAAAAAAAAAAAAAAAAAAAAAAAAAAAAAAAAAAAAAAAAAAAAAAAAAAAAAAAAAAAAAAAAAAAAAAAAAAAAATAAAAAAAAAAAAAAATATATATATTTTTTATTATATTTTTTTTTTTTTTTTTTTATTTTTTTTTTTTTTTTTTTTTTTTTTTTTTTATTTTTTTTTTTTTTTTTTTTTTTTTTTTTTTTTTTTTTTTTTTTTTTTTTTTTTTTTTTTTTTTTTTTTTTTTTTTTTTTTTTTTTTTTTTTTTTTTTTTTTTTTTTTTTTTTTTTTTTTTTTTTTTTTTTTTTTTTTTTTTTTTTTTTTTTTTTTTTTTCCTTTTTCTTTCTCTCTCTCTCTCTCTCTCTCTCTCTTTTCTCCACATACAGCAGCAGAGACACAGCTATGCAGCTAGCAGTAGGGGCACAACAGCAGACATATAGTCGACAAAGCGGTATAAACAACACAGCAAACGGGGTTTTATGGCAGAGGCAAAGCAGTGCGGACCAAGCCAAGTAGAAAAAATAATTTTGACAAAACACAGAGACAAGCCAAAAAAAAGCCAAAACAAAAAAAAAAAAAAAACACACACAACAGACACACAACAGACACAAAAAAAAAAAAAAAAAAAAAAAAAAAAAAAAAAAAACACAACACACACACACCACACACAAAAAAAAAAAAAAAAAAAAAAAAAAAAAAAAAAAAAAAAAACAAAAAACACAAAAAAAACACAACAAAAACAAAAACAAAAAAAAAAAAACAAAAAAACAAAACAAAAAAAAAAAAAAAAAACAACAAAAAAAAAAAAAAAAAAAAAAAAAAAAAAAACACCCCCCCCCCCAACAGGTGGGTAAGGAACGTGAATTACCACCTCTTGAATTTCGCCCCCCCAAAACCCATTCCCTAACAATAAAAATAAAATAAGCATAATTAAACTAAATTAATTAAAGATTTTTAGATTTAAGTTTAATTTTTTTTTTTTTTTAAAAAAAAAACAGAGAGAGGAGGGGGGGGAGCCCCACCCGCGCTAGACCAAAAGCACAAAAAAAGAAAAAAAAAAAAAAGAAGAAAAGGCAGGAAAAATAGGCTGCCCTGATAAAAAAAAAAAAAAAAAAGAAAAGGGGAATAGGTGAGTGTGGGAGAGGGGGGGGAGGGGTGTTCTTTTATCTCCCCGCTTATAGGCAAGTGCAATTCACTGCCGCATGACAGCCCTATGTCTATGCTGCTACACTGTCAAGGTCAGTTGAAGACAGCTGTTGAAAACACCCTTGATATAAGTGCTTGTGGCCCACCTGGATTGCACAACCTTGTTGTACATGACCAGGTTGCAGTCTTCTTCCATGAGCAGACAGAAAACATCTGTTCCAGAAGTGTCTGAAGCTCGCACAGGCTTCCAGCCGTAGATGACAAAGTTACCATCGTCCATCCAGCCTGTTTGTTTGACAAATAGAAACGTATCACCACCTTGGATTCTGTTGTTTTTTGTGCATCAGCATATTTCCCTGTGCGGTTTGAAGCAACAACTCTCAAAAATTAGGTAGAAAGGACTCAATAGCACAACTTAACACACAAGAGCTCAGCAAAACAGTTATTTACCTGCAAAGTCTGGGACACAGAAATCCAATCAAACAGGCAAACAAGTCCAAAAAGTACAAAGGCAGAGTTAAAAAGGAACACAAGGGACTGCTGGAACGCTTGACACAAAGGACGAAGTGGCACAGAAGGGAAGGAACACAGGGAATATATACTCTACAGGTGGGTGGATGAAAGATGACTTTCAAAATGCTTTTCAAACCATCCTTTCATCATTTCATGGCTTTGGAGTTGGAAGAGTTCCAAATCTCTTCTCATTCGTTGTTCAGCCCCAGTTTGCTGTCATTGGTCAGTTGAAGACGACAGAGTTTGTGTGCCTCATCCTGGTTGTACATGACCAAGTTGCAGTCTTCCTGCATAACCAGGCGGTAAACAATCTGATCTATCTGTCTGAAGCCCGCACAGGCTTCCAGCCGTAGATGACAAAGTTACCATTGTCCATCCAGCCTGTTTGTTTGACAAATAGAAACGTATCACCACCTTGGATACTGTTGTTTTTGTGCATCCGCATTTTTCCCTTGGGGGTTTGAAGCAACAACTCGCAAAAATTAGGTAGAAAAAAAACCCCTAGACATTCTTGTTGTCTCCTACTTCTTCTGTGATGAGGACACTAACCATAAGGAATATAGTAACCATTTAGAAAATATTGAATTCACTCCCAAAAGGACACTGATAGTAATCTGAACTGTAGACTTGTTGAAAAACAATGTAAGTCCATTTCAAATCACTAATCCTTCAATTTTAATCAATAATTATTCCAATATTTGCATTCCAATTTGTAGTTCTTTCAATCTCAATATCCAAAGTATTAAATATTCCAATTACTGCTGGTGTGTGAGGTGGATGCCAAACACAACAATGTCTGGTATGTGTACATTTGGCTTGATATGTAAGACTCCTTATACCCCATAGATGTAGTTTAAATCTAATAATATATACAATAATAAATCTAATATGGTCTTACTAATCCATGCAGAGGAACTACGTTTAGAGACATCATTCACCCATCAGCAACCTACGACTGAAGAATGCAGTCGGCAAGTACAGTTTGTGTTTTTAATGCATTCACTGTTTGTTGTAACTGAATGTGGGGTTTTTGTGGTCTAGTGGTTATGAGGTTATGAATCTGGGCTTCCACGCACAATGCATCTCCTAAATGAGAAATAATAAATGTGAATGTAAGCATTCCGTAATCAGAAATCTTAATCCACTGATCGATTCAATTTATATGTTATATATTTATATATGTCAGCTGTGCACCTTATCAACACATATGATGGAGTAAACAGAAACAGTGACTCCAAATTAAGTTCCATGTAAAATGGCAGGTGATGTTGTGTAGTGCTGCATCATTATTGGTCAGTCAGGACACTCCAACAGAAAACACAGCAATAAAACTGATTTAGTCACTGATGGTCACTCATGTTGCCTTCAGTCAGGACAAAGAATCTAATTTTATACATACTGTAACAATATCATGTGTGCACTTTATTGCATTGATTTGAATGTTTTTTTCTTTTAGTTGCAACTGGTTGAAGGATCCATGGAACCTAGCCATGATCCTAATCATTATTGCCTCCATGACCTTCTTCATTAGGTGCATTCTCCATTACTTCAAGATCATTTAACTGAGTACACAAACACACACACACACACAGCACACACACGTACACAGACACACACTAACACATACAACAAATAAAGAAAAATCACGCAAGAAACTGAATAGCTTTGTCTTTGACATTTTATTTTATTTTTAGAGAAATAAGTTGCTCAATTAAAACAGTTACCAAAAAAATAATAAATTTGAAATAAATAATACAAAAAATGTAATATAAGTAGCCCACACAAAGTATAAAATGAACCTACAAAATAAAAACTGTAAACAAGTGATAAAATAAAGGAGGATCACTTGATGCTGTTGAAGCAGCGATGACTGTAGATGACCCAGGATTTGCAGGAGGTGGATTTAAATATTTCAACAGCGCATCTGAAGAGAGAAGAGGAGTAAGTGACACCCTTGGGTGTTACAGTCTAATAATAAAAGAAATGATTCCAAGAATAAAATTAAATAATAAAAAAGAAAAACCTAAGAGATGCATTACTTTTACTGTACTGTACATGAATAGATAGATAGATAGATAGATAGATAGATAGATAGATAGATAGATAGATAGATAGATAGATAGATAGATAGATAGATAGATAGATAGATAGATAGATAGATAGATAGATAGGACAGCTTGCATTTATATACATTTATATACCTTTTTGTACAAAGACTAGACACACAGCCCTGTAGATCAACATCAACAGCGTCGGAGCTGGAGAGGTCGAGACCTCGGCAGAACTGCAGACGTCACCGCTGACTGGTGCTTGTTGGGACCTGAAGGAAAAACGCCATTACACTGTGACCTCTGACCTCTTTGCCACGGAAACATCACTACCAGTACAACGTGTACTCATTCACTGTGTCATGTTTTCATGATGTTTTTTCATGTACGTTCGTTTCTTTCACTACTTTAGAGTGAGTAACTACGGATGAAAAACGACCTTCGTTGACACATTTTCTGTTATATTAATTATATTTGTGTTAAATAAACTCAATACTGTGAATAATAAACAAACCAATGTAGTAGAATCAGAGTATAAAGTGTCAGTACTGCACATCTGAACTGTAATATCTTAAACTCATCAAAAAGGCTGAATCTGTTGTTGGCTTGAAGCTTGTCACCCTGGAGGAGCTGGTGGAGGAGAGGATGCTGGCAAAACTGCTGGCAATCATGGACAATCCCTCCCACCGCCTCCACACAACACTGGACAAGCTAAAGAGCAGCTTCAGCAACAGACTCGTTCAACCCCGCTGCAAGAAGGAACGATACAGGAGATCCTTCCTCCCCACTGTTATAAGACTGTATAACTCATCTGCCTCTGTCAGAGCCCCAATCACAGAACTGGACTAAATCTACCTGGGGAACATATACTTCATCATATACTATCATATGTGATATGTGTTAATATAAACCATGTTGACTTTTATTATTATTATTATTATTATTATTATTATTATTATTATATAACAATAAGATACTATCTATTGTATGTATATCTTCTTGTATAGTCAAGTATCTATTATACATATGCTATTTTATTTATATATATATATTTTTTTATATTAATGTATAATATCTATATGTACACATGTATATCTGTTCAGTCATCATATTATATACATATTATTATATTATTATAAATATTATTAATATTATCATTATATACTGTTATTATTATATACTGTTATTAACAATAACACTACCATCATGTCATCAGTAAAATTACCACCATCTTGCAACTACAACTCTTTGCACCTTACCTACCTATTTATCTTTTCTATCTAAGTATTTTATTCTATTGTTGTATTTTATTCTATTATTGTATTTTATTCTATTGTATTTCATTGTATTTTAATGTACCTGGCTGCTATTACGACCCAATTTCCCTCTGGGGATTAATAAAGTCTATCTATCTATCTATCTATCTATCTATCTATCTATCTATCTATCTATCTATCTATCTATCTATCTATCTATCTATCTATCTATCTATCTATCTATCTATCTATCTAAATAAAGAAAAGGCAGAGAAGTAAAGTGTTTCATATTTTTTAGATTCATTTGTTTTCTTTTGATGTAGTTTATATTTAATCTCTGAATTATTCTGTAAAATGTCAGCGAATATTGGAAAATGTCCAAGATAATCCTTTTAAATTTTTTCCCCTTATAATCTAAAATAAGGCATTAAACCCACAGATGTCTCTATTACTGCTGCTGCACCATAAAAAAACCCAACCAACCGAAACTAAATGAGTTTTACTGTAACTGTACGAACTGTTGTTTGACCCCAATCAGTCCTCATCAGATACTCACAGTTGCACTAAGTGACCACTAGGGGGCAGAAAGCCTCCTGAGAACAGACACTGAACAACATTATTATTCATTAGGAGTCCACCTGATCAATGTCAGTCCAGTATTTACTCTTTTAGCTCCAGTTTGGTTTCTACCAACTTCTATCTGCCTCTTTAGCTGCTAAATGTTCCTCGATGTTCATGTACGACCGAGTAAAGCGACTGAAACTGCTGTTTTTCTCCTCTGTTACATCTGTGACTTAATTATTTTGACCAAACCAGAGTCACTTAAAACTTTGACAACATTTTAGTTACCTGCAGATTAGATTCACTTTATGTATTATATTTTTTACAGGCTACTGTAACATGACAAATGTACTTGGTAATATTTGATGGGCATTGATACGCGTTATGGCTTCAACATATTTTAGATTAAGAAGATAAAAACAAAAGAACCTCTCTATAAACTTTTGGATTGCTTTTCCTTATCATTCAGAAAATACTAATTATAAAAGTTTTATTTTCTTGTTATTATTTTTTGACTACTTGATTAATCATTTCAGTCTGAACAGCAAAGCCTGTGTTTTCATGTGGTCAGACCTATGGAAATAACCAGAATAATAATAATTGGGCAAATAGTGTATCACACTAAAATATAACTGCAAGCTGATTGAAAGAATAGCTTTTGATTTTAGACTTAATCAACAGACATATTTAGCTAAACAGCTGCTTTTTATTACAAGAAACCATGTTCTGGTTGCTTGTAATAAAAAGTACTTAATCTCATACACTTTCCAAAGAAATTGTCGATCATCAAACGTATACACACACACACACACACACACACACACACACACACACACACACACACACACACACACACACACACACACGTGGAGACATAGTTTGTCCCACAGAAGTCTGAACCT